AGACCTGTTCTGGCGCCTTGCTGGTGGTTGGCTTCACATCAGTGCTGGGAGCAGCATTTTAGATCCTTACTGTGAGGCTCGGTGCTCTGCTTGTGTAGTGATTTTTTTATGTCGGTTTCTGCGAGGGTTTCACTATTGCTGAAAACACTTGCTTATCGCTCAGAGACAGGACCTAGGCTTGGCCCTCAGCCGCTGGCTCATGCTCAGGACGGCAGGGTGGCCTCTTGCTGTGGCTCTCTGTCTGTCTGCCTGCCTGTCCTTTACCCGGAGCTCAGGACACGGCTATAGGTTGCCTGCTTCTCCGCTAGCTCCCTTGTGTGGACTGCCCAGGTGTTAAGTATTGTTGGGTGACGACGCACTCCAATGGTGTATTTGTTAGGGAGCTCACACACCAGGGGACGGGCCTGTGGTTGGTGGCTGTGTCTCAGAGTCAGAAAGTGCTCCCTGCCTGCCAGCCCGCTGTGCCCCAGGGTTCGTGCTCAGCTGTGTCCAGCCTTGTCCCTGGGTCCTGGAGCACCCTCGCTGGGCTTGTCTACCCCACAGTGGCCTTGCGTCCAGAAGGTGCCTGCTTCAGGACTGGGGCATTCCCTTGGTGACCCCCTCCTCTGGGTGTTGGGTCCCAGCTGGCTTCTATGCTGACCACAGGGGGTTTTGGCAGTGGGCATTGTCAGCAAGTGGGCTCAGCCACTGGAGTGGAGGGCTGGTCCCTGGACAGAATCTGGAGTGGAGGGGAGCAGAGGGAAAGGAGGTGGCAGTGCCAGCCATGGAGTTGGGGTGCTCCTCAGGTGCCAGTGCTGGACAGACATGGCTAGTGTCTGCCAGACAGGTCAGGGGGCTGTACTGCCAACCAACCTTTTTACCAAATCCAATGCCTCCCCTCCTGTGCCCTGCAGCCCATCGCAGCGGCCACACCATTCCCCCTCCCTATCCAGCTCCTCTGGGCCCCACAGGACAGCCCGCCTCTCCCACCTGTCCCACCTGCTGTCCCTGCGATCCTTCTAGGCCTCTTGTTGTAGAGTGAGTGATGCAGCCTGTGGCTCAAGTCACAGATCTCCGGGGCCTTGCCTCCTGCCCGCTGTGGCTATCTGTCTATTGTCTTAAGATATTCTACCCAGAGAACTGACCACTGTCTAGCCACAGCCTACTGGTTTGCATAGTGGGCTGTGAGCATTCGGTGTGTACGGTCCTTTGAGCAGTCCCTGTGGGGAGCAGCCAGAGCCAGGACCAGGCTGGAAGAATCAGAGCAAGTCTTTCAGGTACCCAGGAGTGCCAGCCATCCTAGACAAAGAGGCGGTCCCCGGGACCAGGCACTGGGGCCAGGCGCTTCCCCGGCTTAGGGCTCGTCTCAGGATAGTTCTCGGAGGGACCTGGGCAGAAGGCCTTGCCCCTCACCATGGGTGCCTGTGTCCCTTGAGCCTTAGCACATCCTGTGACCCCTGAGGAAGACTGCCCCTGGCCCTCTGTCTTCTCGCCTGTCGAGTTCTGCCTGCCCTCGCCTGAGTTACGAATGCTCTCTGTGGGGCAGGGGTCTGTCGTGTGTCATTCAAACGGTTCTCTTGTTTAATAATTCAGTAGCTGCTTTTAAAAAACCTGTTTTCTCTCATTGCTGTGTGGCTCGTTGTGTGGGGGCTGCCAGCCCATCACCGCCACCTCTTGCCTTGGTGTCTCTCAGTGTGGCCTGTCCCTTGGTCGGCATGGCCCCTGCTGAAGGTCAGCTAGTGGGACCCTCATCCTCGTGTCGGCAGGAAGGAAACGTGCCCGATGCACCACAGCACAGGCAGCGCGAGGGGCCATGGTTGGGGGTTGCTGGTATCAGAATCAGTTAAAGAAAGGTTGCGGGTCAAAGTTAAGTCTGAACTTTAGGACTCTCGGGGCTGATTTGTCCTGCCCACCCCACCCCGCTGCCTCCCCCCAGACTTGTGGTGCTGGACAAGGTGGCAGACCGCCTTCACTCCGCCCACCTGGCCCTGTGCTCCCTCTGTCCCAGGGCAGTGATGACAGCAGTGGCACATGGCCATGTCAGCTGCCCTGTCCCACATGACTCCTGTGGCCTGTGGTTCGCAAGCCCAGACTTACTCGTTACTGCCCATTGGTGTCCCCTGTGGGCATGGCCAGGCCCCCTGCCTGCTGCCGGCAGAAGGCCCCTGTGGGAGTGTCCAGTGGGCCCGTTGCTCTCAGCCTGCTTTGCCTGGTGTGCCTGAGACCAGCTGACAGGTGTTTGGCCGGGTGGTCGGGGCATGTGTTTTGGAGTCTCTTCTGTTTTCACTCAAGATACGTTGAAGTTCTCAGCCTGTGTGTATTTAGAAGTGTCTTGTCGACTCTCCCAGGCTCCAGCTGTCCGAGTTTCTCCTTTCTCGTGTGCCTTGTAGCCTAAGTGCAGAGCCTGCATGCGTGGCTTCAGCACGCCCAGCTGTATGCAGTGGGACCTGACTGGGTGCTGGGTGGGCATCCGTCATGAGGCTGGTGGGCCATGCTGTTGAGCTTCAAAGTTTCCCACAAATGTGCAGAGCCCCTCGTGAGCCCGCCTGGGCCCTGGGCCTCTGGCTCTGCCACCGCAGGGGCCTGTGGGGATGGATGCAGGCAGGTCTTGCCTCTCCCTCTCGGCTGCAACTTCCTTAGGAAACTGTCTGTCCTTACCAACCTTCCTCCCCCATCCACACGACTGACGGAGCCTGTGCCCTTGTTACCGCGTGGCCCAGCCTCGCCTCTGCCCTGTCCCTTGAACCCATGCCCTCGGTGTTTGAAGCAGCCCTTAGAGAAGGCCCGTTTCTTTGTTCGTGGTGCTCGGGTTAATGCCTCTCCTTTCTGTGGTCTCTTCCCCTTCCCTTGCCCCTCTGGCGTTTCCGTGATGGCTACAGGAGAGTGAGTGCTGGTGTCGTCCTTGCCCTTGAGCTGGGTCCCCTGCACCTGCGGGTGGCCTGGCAGTCTGTGATTTCTGGGCTGCGAGGCCTGCTGTGTGGGAGGCTGTACTGTTGTCCCCCACCCCTTCCCCAGCATGTGCTGGAGGCCTTTCTGTCCACCCTCCTTGAGTCTGGAGCCCCGCCCCAGCCCGCCCACCATGTGACCTCACAGTTGCTGGAAGGGCCCAGGGCAGGGGAGCCACTTGCTGAGGGTCACATGTCGTGGCTGGGTCGCCTGACCGAGGGAGGGGCCTGCTGGGGTCCCTCTGCCACCTTGTCTTGTCTCCATTCTCACAGGGCTGTGTCTGGGCTTCCAGCCCTGGACTCGGCTGGGTTACACTGCAACCTGTTGGAGCGGGAGCTGTGTCCCCGTGTGTGACCCTGTGTGTGTTTCTCTCCCCCCCCCCGTGGTGCAGGGGGTCAAACACTGGCTGCTAACCGGAGGTCAGCCTTCCTGCCTGGGAACCCTTCCCGGATGGACTGGTCTGGGGCGGGGCTGCAGTAGGCAGGAAGCTTTCTCTGGCTCTTTGTCCCGGGGTGGGGGCTGCCCCCTGAGCTGCCTGAGAGGGGATGGTAATCCTGTCTTTCTCCTGAAGAACTCAGCACCCCAATCCGTTTCTGCTCCCCTAGTTCTAGAAACACTGTGTTTTAATTATCCCAAGTGTGTTGGCTGCTTTAAGGCCAGGAGTGGCTTGTGAGTTTTGTCACCTTTGAAGCACAGTCACCTACCTGCGGGGGTAGGGGCCTGGGTGACTTCCATTGGGGCACCCCCTGTGCGCAGCAGGTCACCACTCTGGAGTTTCTTCTCCCCGCGGGGCCCCAGGGCGCCTGTCTTGAGCAGCCCCTTCCTGCCAGAGCCAGCGTGGAGTTGGATGGGCCACAGCTTGTAGGACGCAGGCACAGGCTGGCCTCCCTGAGCCCCTGTGGGAAAGTCAGCACCTGGGCAGGTGTCCTCTGGCCTCCCGAGTGCCAGCCTTTGCTGGGGCAAGTGGGGGCGCACCTCCGTCACCTTCAAAGACTAGTACCCCATCCCAAAGTCACCTGTGCGGAGGGGGGGGGCGGGGGGCGCGCGTGTGGTGGACATGCTGCTCCTGTGCCCTGATGGTGCTGGACAGGCCCAGGCCTACTGGGTCAGCCGGAAAGTCCCTCAGGGTTTCAGAGGGAGTGCCCTGGGCCACCCTCATGTGCTCCCAGCCTCACCCTAGAGCCCCACCACCCCCACTGTGATCTGGCATGTACTGCTCGCCTGCTAGCAGCCTCTGTGAGGAACTACAACTCCCAGAATGCCTCTCGTGGGTCCCGCCCACTTCCTGTGGGTGCTAGCCCCAGGTGTCTTGTTTCCGCGGAGCAGAGCCACCTTGAAGAACCTTGGCGAGTGTTGGGCTGGAGCGAGCTGGGGGATGGGTAAGCGTGTTCTTGCGTCTGAGGCCAGGAGGCCGGCATCGGCGTGCCTTGTGGGAGGCTGGACCCAGGCTACAGCTTACCACTGGCAAGCTTGAATAAAGGACCAGTGAGCACCTCGCGCCTGGGGCTTTTGCTTCAGAATAGCTCTGGCGATGAACTGGGGGCTTGGTGCAGGGGTAGGCACCTGGCCCATCGCCTGATTGGGTGCATGGACAGGAAGTGGGGTGCCATGCCATCATAGCAGCTGGGTGAACCCGCCCTGCCACCTTGTGTTCACGGCCGGCCGGCATTGAAATCTCAGGTTAAAACATTCAGCAGCAGCAGCCAGGAGTCCTGGCTGAGGGACAGGAGCCCCTCCCAGGACCCCCTTTCTCTATCCACTGGGACATGTCCCCCTCCCCGTGGATGCCCTGTGCTGCCCTCACTGCTACGCATGCCTCCTGCTTCTGCTGTTTAACAAGGAAGTTGCTGGAATGTTCTCGTACTGTAGAGGAGCCCCTCCCCACCCATGGGGAGAGGTCAGCACTTGCTGTCGGCCCCCCATGGGCATGGGCATCGGGCGACCTCCCGGTGTCTGTCCGTGTGCACTGCCCTAAGGCTGGCCATGGCCTGCACAGAGTGCCGTGGTCGGTGAGTGGGCGCTGCCCAACCCCCTGCCCGCCGTTCTGCCAAAAACACCGGCCCTGCAGGGCTTCTGGCGGGGCGTGCACCATTCCCCTGTCCTCAACCAAGGCCACCTCCTCCTCCCTGGCCGGTGGGGCAGCTCGCAGCACTTCAGCCCACCTGCCTCTGCTCCGCCACTCTGCCCTCCTGATGCTACCTCAATCCTGAGACAGTTCCTCCATCCCGGAATCTCCAATGTTGCCCTCTCCCTGCCCACCCTCGCCTCGCTCGTACCTGCCTGCCCTCTGGGCTGCCTCCTTCAGAGAGCCTGTTTGCATGGGCGCCTCCTGTTATTCTTGCCTCTGCCAGTTGTTAACACGGTTGGGCCAGTGCCCTGTCTGCCTCTTGAGAGGTGAGGCCTGGGGCAGGAGCTATCTGCCAGCCCCACATCCCCAGACCCTGGCCAGTCCACCCTTGGCATGGTGGCCCCGGTGGTAATGAGACACCCTCCGGGGCTATGTAATAGAGTGTGTATCAGACAGTTTCCCTGTAGGACTGTTGTGGGGACCAAACCTCCAGGGTTCCGGCCGCAGCCAGCACTTATCCAGGAGCCTGGGCCTCAACTGGCCTTGGACTGGGTGTAGTCGTTAGCTATGTGTGGCTGGTCACTGCCTGCTTACCTCTGCCCCACCTCTACCGGCCCATCCCCCCAAACTGGCCTTCCCACAGGCTGGGAGGTTTTTCATACATGGTCCCAGCTCACTGTGGGGGCAGCAGCCAATTCCCGACCCACTGTGCAGCAGGGCCCTTTTGGGGTCTAACTGCCAAGCTTCCAGTTTTAGAAGGGTGTCTTTGTTTCTTTCTGTTGGGGGCTGGTGGGAGGGAGTGTCCGTTCAGACATCCAGACATGTTCTGTTGTTCCAGCTGGCCCTCTGCCCTGCTCAGGGCCCCAACACTGCACCTCATGCTTGCTTCCCAGGCCCCATTTCCACCTGGGTAAATGCTTCCCCCTTGTCCCTGTGCGCTGTCCGTGCGTGTCTGCAGACCTGGGCTCGGCCTCCTGTGTAGAGATGTTGTAGAAGCTGTGTGAAAGGGATACTCGAGGTCATTTCAGCATGGAGGCCAGGATGACTAAGTGCACCTGTGTCCCTGGTCCACGTGGCCCACCACCTCAGCTGAGCTGTCAGCACCGGGTGAGTTACTGCACTCTGGTGTCCGGCACACACTCAAACCTTCCGCCAGTGCTTGCTCCCTGGAGCATGGGGTCCAGCCCTGCACAGTGCAGGTTCTAGGCCCACCGGAATTCGAACACTGATTCTGGGGTGGATTCAAAACCTGTTGGTCTGGCCTCTGTTGGTGGCCTGGCTCAGCTGGAGGCCAGTTACTTGCTGCCTGCCTCCGCTGGGTGCACTCTTGGTGTGTGCATGCGCGCACACCGACAGAACGTGATTCTCCTTCCATACATCGCCTATCTCTAGTGCATAGATGGGTGGATTTAAGCTACCCACAGAACCTTTCCTCACTGAGCACCATGCTTACCTGGCTACCTCCAGGCACCTGCTTCTGTACTTTCAACAGGCTGAGGGACAGGCCCAATAGAAACACCCCAGCCTCCGTTCTGCAGTGGTGCCAGGAGCCCCTAGGGGGCAGCCGTGCACCATGGGGAAAGCGCTCAGCACATGGGGCCCCTTGAAGAGAGGGTCTGCCCACTGGGAGCGTGGCCCCACCCCAGACCCATGGTCCTTGCCACAGACCCTGACCCATGGGAGTGTGTGCAGCTGCCCACGCCTGTTGCCCACACACAGTCACCTGGGCATGCCCCCACACCTGATTCAGGTACTACAAGGCTCAGGTGCCTGGAGGGGGCGCTGCAGCCACCTCACTTCTGGTCTTAGCCACGTGGTGACTGAGCTCAGGCAGCCCTGCCCCTGAAGAGCCCCCTCCTCCCCTCTTGAGCTCTGTCACCCTGCTTGTGGCCCCCTGATAACTTCCCCCCTCCCTGCACCCTGCTCCTAAGCTTCCACCCCCCAGAGGCAGCCAAGTATATCCTCTATACTCTGACAGCCTGACCTCTGCCCCCAGAGCCCCCTGTGATGCACCCAGTGCTGGAGCCGCTCTCCTGGATGCTGGGCACCTGGCTGTCGGACCCGCCCGGAGCAGGCACCTTCCCGACACTGCAGCCCTTCCCGTACTTGGAGGAGGCGCACATCTCCCACGTGGGCCAGCCCATGCTGAACTTCACGTGAGTGCCTGGCCCCATGTGGCCAGCCAGTTCCTGCCACTGCAGGCTCTCGGAAGCCCTCCTGCTGGGCCAGCCCCACCAGGACAGATAGAGTGATCTTAAATGAGAAAGACTGAAGGGGGGCTCTGAGATAGTGGGGGGAGCTATGAGGGAGCAGGTGGTCTGTCAGGGACGTGTGTGTGGCGTGCACATGCTTCTGGGTTTTGGGTGAGTGCGTGTTGGGATCTCCTGCATGCCAAGAGTCTGGCCTTCTTAAGAGTACCTGCCAGGTGCTCACCCCTGTGGGAGGCGGGGTTGGGCCTGGAAGGCACATGATGGGTGGTGTGCAGTGGGACCCCGAGTCGGTGGGAGCCTCTTGTTGATCCTGTGCAGGTTCAACGCCTTCCACCCGGACACCAGGAAGCCGATGCACCGAGAGTGTGGCTTTATCCGCCTGCAGCCGGACACCAACAAGGTGGCCTTTGTCAGCGCCCAGAACACAGGTCCGCCCTTGCGCCCTGATTGTGGGGTGGGAGTTGGCCAGGGGCCTGCAACCCCACCTCGACGCTACCTCCTTGCAGGCATCGTGGAAGTGGAGGAGGGCGAGGTGAGCGGGCGGGAGCTGTCCATCTCCTCCCACTCCATCGCCAGGATCTCCTTCGCCAAGGAGCCCCGTGTGGAGCAGGTGAGCTAGCTGGTCTCCACTCGAGACCCTGCCCCATCCACGTGCTGAGTCCCTCCCTCCATCCGGATGCCGTGCTGCTCCCTTCTGGGGGGCCTGCTGGGCAAATGCTTTCCCCCTGGTTACAGAGAACCGAGCAGGGTGCTCGGTCTGGTGGTGGTGGCTTTGCCTCTGCAAGTGCAGCTGGCTCAGCCCAGCAGGTCAGCGTGGCCCTGAGTGAAGGGAGCTGGGGCCAGGCCTTCCTAAGGAAGTCCTTCCTCCCCGACACCCTGATGTGAGTGTGGGGAGACAGGCTTTGGGAGCCCCCAGCAACAGCAGGCTGGCTGTTAGCCTCCAAGGTGCTGCGAGCCAGGCTTGGCTCTGCCATGGCTAGAGTTTGTGGGGGCATACGTGAATATGCATATCTGCACATACACACATCAGCACCTGTACACAACCATGCACTGCAGGACGCCTCCACGTGCACACTCACAGCCACCTATACACATGGTCATGTACCCACACACCGTGTGTGCTCACATGTCCATACATGCCTGCACACATAACACGTGTTTGCAATTGTACAAATAGCTGTTTGGACCACTTGGTAATGAAACATTGAGCGTCTGAAAGGCCAGGATGGGCTGTGACCACAGTCTGGCCCCACCCGTGCTGTGCTCGGCCCGTGCGCCCAGGCCCCTGAGAAGCAGCAGCCTATAGAGCCCTCGCTCTCGCCCCGCCCCCTAGTTCCAGTGCTGGGGGCTAGGCAGCCCTGCGGGGCCAGTCTGAGGGTGGGCTGTCATGCAGACCCCACAGAGGTGCTCCCAGAACCTGGCCCAGCCTCCCCGACTCCCAGTCTGTGGTCTCTCCGTTGCCTTTGTTCCAGACACCCCACCCCACCCCCCTTTGCCTGGGACCACCAGCCCAGGCTCCTGCCCTCACCACTGCCCCTCATTCATTCCTGGTGCTGGCCCACTGCTGCTGGCTCATCTCTTCACGTTCTGTTTTTATTCGAAAACTCCCATCGTGTGGCCAGATAGTGTCTGCCTGTGCCGGCAGGTCGTTTCCCTCCTCAGTGCTGTGGTCTGCTCTGGGCTACGCCGGGGCTCTGCTCCAGTCCACTCTGAGGGCCTCGAACAGTGGCCTGTGTGTGTGGCTGTGGACACAGGGAATTAGGAGTAAGTGGCGCAGCTCCTGTGTGTCTTTCCAGAGGGGCCCTTCTGAGATTCTTGCCTCTGGAAGATGATGCGCGTTTCATTCCCTCGGGGGAGTTTTGTCCTCGTTCTGGTAGCCTCTCTGTCCTTCATCGCCGTCTTTCCTTCTGACGCTGGACCATTCGATGTTGCCCCTCCTACTTCCCTCACGTTTCCTTTCTCAGATACTTTGTGCTGCATGTTAGTCGTTCACTGGCTCTTCCCCCTAAAGAGCGTGCTGCCAGGCCACTAGGGAGCTTTCTCTGCTCTCCATGGCTTTGACAAGACCCTCTCCTGGCTGTTTGGTTTCTGCCCGTAGCAGGCCCGGCACCAGGTGTTGAGGATCCACTGCTGAGATTGCAGGGTGGACAGCCATCAGTGTCATGTGCTCCACAAAGCCCCCCTATTTCCCCAGGTGGCTTCAAAGCCTCGGCCTCTGCAGCTCAGAGTCTGCCTTCACAGCTTTCTAACCTGTCCGCCCCTTAGGGGAAGCACCTATCACCACGGCTCTGCCCACCCCTCCTTTGCTAAGGAAGTGGCGGTGAGGATGGCGCCTGTTCCGGGCCAGGCCCTTCCTGCCTGGGGCGGGCTCTGTGTGCTCCCATCCAGGGTCCCCCTTCCTGCCTGGGACTGGCTCTCTCTGCACCCATCCAGGGTCCCATGCTTCAGTCTGGACACTTGGTGCTGACTGAGCGTGCTCACCCAGCCCATCCTGGTGACAGCAGAGCCTTGAGCCCTCAGGCATGTGGGGTTGCCTCCCCACAGCTGGCAGGGAGACACATGCCTGGCTTTATTGGGATGGACTCATGCTACCACAGGCTCAGTGTCCAGTGAGCGGGGCAGGTCTGAGCAGGTGCCTCCTCAGTGTGGACAGCCCTTGTCCTGCCGGCTGGTGGTGGCCCTCGGCAGGCCTGGGATGTCTGGGCTGTGAAGCGGAGCTTGAGGGTCTGTCTCTCCTCAGATCACCCGAAGGTTCAGGCTGACTGCTGAGGGCAAACTGGAGCAGACCGTCTCCATGGCAACCGCCACCCAGCCGCTGACCCAGCACCTTCACGTCACCTACAGGAAGGTGACCCCGTGACCCCTGACCCGGCACAGCAAGGCCGAGGATTGTCCCGTTGACTCTGCAGTTGGACCATCCTGTGTCCCCGCGTGCTGAGGCGGGAGAACATTGTCGGGTTCCTGTGATGGGAGAAACCAAATAAAGGCCTTTATTTTTATGGCTTGAGGCTGTGCGGCTGTCCGTGTGCCTCCTCCGCTGGCCTGGCTGGGCACCTCCTCTCCTCCCTCCCCTCCCCCAACCCAGCCCTCCACTCCGGGCAGCCTGTAGCACGTCTCTGTACTGGGCTAGGGGTGCGGGCACAGTTTAACTGCAGCCTCCTTGGGTTCTGTTGATGCCCATGCCTAGATGCCCCTTTACACAAGTGGGCACTGATTTGTACAAACTGTGCACGGAGCTATCACAGCCATGCCACAGCCCGATCAGAGGTCCCCTTATACACTCGGTCTCCACCATCACTCACTGTCCTCTGCGTACACACACTGGCTCCTGCTGTCCCTTCCACAGCTCACTGACCCCTGCGTACAGATGGGGCAAATGTGCAGGAAACCCCTGAAAGACACCCCCGTGTACTCATCATCCTCTTGTTGGAGGCTCACGGATGACCCTACAGCCAGGCCAAGAACCCCAGCAGCTGGCTTTGTGCTGTACCTACCCTGTCCTGGGTGCCCCCACCCTGCTGTGTGTGGAGGGACCCGTCTGGTCACAGGTCTGGAAAAGAGCACTGGGGGGACCATGGCTGTAGGAGGAAGTGGAGGCCCCGGGGGGGGGTTGGTCCTGGAAGCAGCCTGGGGCAGGCTGTCCTGCAGGGTCTCTGCTCGTCATAACTTGACTCAGCCACCCAGAGTCCAGTTGGAGTCAAGGGATCTTAGAAGCAGGGGAGCTATGGCTCCTGAGATCAAGCACAGCGTGAGGGGCTACCAAAGCCTTGGGGCCGGTTCTATGGTGGCCTGTGCCACTGCTTGGGCTCCGGAAGCCCCCTCATCTCTCCCTCGGCTCATAACCGTGTTCTCAAGCAGAGCCCACTCTGCGTCCTCGGCATCCTTTCCTTCCCAGCCAGTGGCCTGGCTTAACCAGGCTCTATGGGCTGGCCGCTGTGGCTCAGGCCCTCTCAGGAGGTGACTCAGTCTCGAAACCTCAGTTCCAGCGTCAGTAGCACGCTTTCCTCCAGGACACATACAGCAACTCCCAGGAGCCCTGCTGATGGCTGCCCTGTGGCGGGCCCCTAGCCCTTTCTAGGGGGCCAGCAGCCCTGGGGCGCAGGGAGCAGTCTGCCCTGGCCTCTTTGGGGTCTTTTTGTTGCAGGGACAGCTGAGCTCATCCACCTCACCCTTTTCCCAGGGCATCAGCAGCCCCATGCCATCTCAGTGCCCTCGGGACTGGCCAAACGACCCTGCAGCTCAAAGCCACAGCCACCAGAGCCCACCTTGTGTGGGTGCCGTGTCAGGCAGGCAGCAGGGCCCCTGGTGATGCAGTCCCTAAGCACTCCACTGCTTCCAGGAGAAGCTATGGGGGGTCAGCTGCCATGATGATTACAGCTCTGGAAACGGGGGCACATGGTCCCCTAAGGTGACCAGGAAGCAGGGCTGACTGGGTAGCAGTGGGCAGCTCTCTGCTGCCCCTCCACCTGGACCACCAGGCACTGACTGCTGGCTGACACCTAGCAGAGCCCATGACGGGGGAAGGGCCCAGGGCCCAGCCCTCAACCGGATATCCACTTAGAGCCCCAGACGGGGAACTGCCCCTGGGGGCTTCTCAGACGGTAAGTGTATGGCAGTAGAAAGCTGAGTCTTCCAATGAGCGGCTGGTGGTTTTGAACTGCTGACGGGCCACTGGGGAACTATTCAGCCACAGAAACAGCGCCAACGTGCATGAACCTGACCCGTTCCGTGGGGCCAGCCAAGAGATACACAGTACAGGATTGCCCGTCTGTGAACTAGAGAGCGCCAAATGGGACTGGTGGTGGTCGGGCTTCTGCCCAGGGTAGGGAGTGCGGGGACCAGGCAGTGGACAATGAGGCGGCCAGCCTCCCAGGGTCACTGCATCAACCTGCAGGCCTCCGTTTGGTTGTATTTTCACAAGAACCCACCAGGGGGCGTCAGATGGTGGGATTTCTGCGTGAACTGGAGTACCAAGGTACCCGTGTGTGTCTATGAAAACCAGCTCAACCCATCACCCCCACCGCCCCCTCCCAGGGGAATGTCCACCTTGGGGAGCTGCCACCATCTCTGTGGACCTGGTGATGCTGGACTCAGGCTCTGCAGCCCCTCTTGTGCCCAGCCCAGCCACCCTCCCTCCAGACGGCCTGTTCCTCGAGGGAGACGGGGCAGTGCTGGCGGTGGGAGGGAGGGGAGCAGCCCCACGCCATGGGGAAGCCAGAGGGAGGGGCAGGGTTCCTGGGGCTTGGTGTACGGTACACCACACGCCTGCTGAGTGCATACAGCTAGTGCCAAGGGCTGGCCAGGGCACCCAGAAAGATGCCACATGTGAGGGCAGAGAGGAAAGCAGGTGGAGGCGGCCTGGGGGACATGAGGCTTTATTGGGAGGATGCTGTCCTGGTCAGAGACACACCCCCACTCTTGAAACTCCGGCCAAGCAGTCCACTCCAGTTAAGGTTGTGCTGGACCCTGGGGTGGGGCGTGGGGGAACCTGGGCTGGCCAGGCCTGTGCACACGTCACTTGAACATACAGGGCCCGCAACCCATGGAGACTGAGCCCAGCTCAGTCCTGGGACCCCTGCAGGAGTGGGGTGAGTGCCTTCCCAGCCCCCAGCCCGCCCACCCCCACCCCCAGGTCTGGAAGCAGAACTCACTAGTTCCGGGGGGCAGTGGAACTGGGTGCTCCCAGCTCCAGAGCAGGGGCCTGTCCCTCCTGCATGCCCACAGGGCTCCCAGGCAGGGGGCTTGGGGGTGGGCGAGTGCCTCCTGGTCCAGCGCCGAGGGCTCCTCCAGTATCAAGGTGCTCATCTCTCAGGCAGGAGCGTGAAGAAGATGGCCTTCAGGAAGCGCCCGAAGCCGCAGAGTGCGGCCACCAGCCAGTGGGCACGCAGGCTGGGCTCCGCGCTGACCACACACTGGAGGATGTCAGTCTGGGGGCGGGAGAGCCATCAGAGGGGCCGGTGGGGTGGGCTCAGGAAGGTGGTCCCATCCCTGCTGCAGCAAAGCCTCCCCCGAATCCCACTGATGGGATGCATGGTCCGGGGAAAGGGGGCAGCTGAACCTGGCCCAGCAGGTAGGGTCCTTCCTCCCTGGGTGTCACTAGACCAGGACCCGGTACCCCCCATAGCCTCCCCAGCACCTCGCTCACCCATCCGCCTCGCCTCCGTAGCCAGGGCGCCAGGCTCTTGCGCACAAACTCCCCCAGGCAGTCTACCAGGGCGTGGACCATGGCCGGCTGAGCCTGCCGCACGCAGTCCACAGCCAGCCCGGCAGCCACCGCATACAGGGACACCACCTTGCCCCACGTGATGCCTGTGAAAACAGAGGCCGCTGGGTATCTGCAGATGGTGGGGAAGAGGAGGTACCCCAGTGCAATCATTGGGTGTGCTGGCCCTTCCCCATGGCCCCTCCCTGTGTGCACTTGGCCGGCCGGCCAGCAGACAGTTCCAGCCAGGACTTGACAGTCAATCCTATGCAGATGCCCTGGGCTGCCACTGCACCTGGCCCACCACCCAGCAGTGCCTGCCGGAGGGGCCAGAAACATCAATATCATGGAGGCAAGGTCCACTTTCAGGGTTGCCACCACAGACCAGGAGGCCTGTACCCCAGACATGCGGTCTCCTCAATCGGGGTCCATAGACCCAGCTCCCTTGTCTCTCCACTGGACCCTGGGCCAGGTGGTCCTTGGCTTGTGGCCACAGCATCTATGCCTATCTGCACGGCCCTATCCTCTGGTCTCTTCGAAGGACACTGGTCATTGGATGAGGGGACATCCCGTGTTGATGGCCTTGTCTGTCATTACATCTGCTGCTGGGGGACATCGAGCTGGTTTTGACTCACAGCGACACCGTGCACAAGAGGCAGAACTCTGCCTGGTCCTGGCCACCCTCACAGTTGAACGAGCCCATTGCTGTAGCCCCTGTGTCCTTCCATCGCCTCGAAGGACTTCCTGTAGTTCACTGACCCGCTACCAAGCTTGATGTCCTTCACCAGGGCTGGCCCCTGCTGAGACATGCCCACACACATGTCCAAGGGCCCCTTTCTTGAATGGGCCTGACTCAGGAAATGGGTCTGTCCACAGGGTCCCAGGGGTGAGCAGGCAGTCCAGTGGCGGGGAGAGGGGAGGAGCTTGCTGGTAAGTGTCACTGTGTGTGCTGTGTTGAGTTTTACGTCAAGGAGCAAAATAACCCTTCAAAGCCACTGCATTTCTCACATGAAAGAGAAAAAGAAACTCGGGAAGAGGCCTGGGCACAGAGCGCAGCCTGGGCTCTCGAGGGGCAAAACTGCTGGTGCCGCCGGCCTGTAACCCATCGGTGCGGCGGGGGCACTGTGTTCTGAATGTGTTTCTCCCAGGCGCCCATGGCTTCTTTAAAAGCCAGGAGAGTTCTGAGCTGCCAACAGGCCGAAAACCTCCCAAACAGCCACTGGTGGCGTGAAGCTGGGGACTTGGGTGAGGCGGGCACGGGGGAGCCCCTCATTCCACAAGCTTCCCAGGAAAACTGCCAGGGGGAGGAAGCACCCCGTCCACTCTCCCACAGCGGCCAGGAGGGGCCTGCACAAAACCTGAGTGAGCAGGCATCAGGCAGCCCACCTCAGGCAGCACCCAAACCCCGCCAGGATGTGCTCCAAGTGGGATTGCAGGCAGACAGCCACTGTCCCTGTTCCTTCCCCTCCCACCAGCAGTGCACGAGGTCCCGGTCTCTGCACCCCTTCACCACCACCTATTAACCTGCAGTGTTTCCGGCAATCACCATCCTGGGGAGGGCCAAGTGTTGCCCATGCTGGATTGATGTGCCCTCTGGGGCTAGTGAAGGAGGCTAATAACCATGAGGTCCGTGGTTCAAACCCACCGATCACTCCTGGCTGCTCCCTTGAAGGATACCAGCCTCGGGGACCCTACCCAGGGTCGCTGGGGGCCTGTGGCTGGGTTTGGAACTACCAGTGGGGTGATCGGTGGTTTGGAGGTTTCTTGGGAGGATGTCAGTTCAGCCCGTTTTTAAACTGATGGTCTTCTTCGTTGGTGTCTTTAAACATTTCTGCCTGTTTCCTTTCTTTCTGTGGTGAACCGCTTTACTCTAATAATACGAAAGTTTCTCTTCCGAAAGGGATGTCAGCCCCCGTCCCCTGAGAGCAGAGCCAGGGACGGTGTCCAGGGGCCATGGCTGCTCGGCCACCAAGTGCTGGGTGCAAAGTGGCCACTGTGGCACCACAAGCCATCCAGAGGGCACAGGCCAAGAGGAGACCTGCTGGACCACTCAGCCCACAGGGGACCTCTCATCCCCAGAGCCCCAGGAGCCCTCTCCTACCCCCTGGCCATGACTCAGCTCTGTAGGCTCTGAGAGGTCAAGAAAGCAGCAGTGCTCATACAGCTGCAAGGTGCTGCCTCAGGCTCAAGTGCACGGGGTCCCTGCTTCCCCGTGACCAGGCCACCCCAGAGCAGCAGCCTCTTCCCTGTCCCCCCCACTGGTCAGAACCCCCTCATCCTTGTTTTTAAAGCCAGCTTGTGCCCATAAACCAGCTGCCACCCCCAGGCCAGGCCCAGGGCACAGCTGTTCTCCCAGGAACTTATTCCTCCCTCTCCAGCCAGACCCCCAGGGAACATCCTCCAGGAAGAGGCCCCCTCCCCCCAGTATTCCTGCCGTCCCCCTCCACCGGCCCACTCAGCTGTGGACACTGGCTACGACTGCCGTGCAAGGACCAAGCCTGTGACCAGGGTCCACACTCCTTGCCCATCAAGGGCCTCGGATTGGCTCTAAGCCCCAAGTACAGAAGTGGGAACAGCTTCCCATGAGTGGGAACAGGGCCCATGCTTGTCACTCAGCATCTAGCCCCGCCCTCTGCCCCCACACTCCTACTGAGACCCTGGGACTCACTGAGCTGCCCGCTGCTGCACCTGGTTTGGGCTGGGCCACTCCAAGCCCCCGGGAAGGGGGTATGACCCCAGTTCAACTTCCTTTCAGTGAGCTAGTGGGGCCCTGCACCTCCGCCACGCCCCTTCCAGACTGGGCCACACGAGACCCACAACCAGCAAGAAAATGGGGATGGGGCTCCCCTACCCCACCCCGCCCTGTAACAGGGTGGGGGAGGGGAGGGCGAGGCTGAGCCCTCCCTGCAGAAGTAGAAGTCACCTGGCTGGTCCCTTCCTGCATTGTCCGGCAGGGAGGATAAGGGCTGCGGTTCTCAGACTGCCACCCCCGGGACTCAGGCTGCGTCTGGACAGGCTTACAGGGGACCCTGAGCAGAAGCCTCAGTATGAAACGGAGCTGGGGATCACCACTTGGCTGACCAGGCCAGTGCTCCAGGAAGGAGGGGTGTCCCGAAATGGCGCTGGGGGAGGGGCCGGCCAAGTGCTACAGGCAGGGGCAGGCGCCTGGTCCTCACCTCCTGGGCGTCCAGTGACCCAAAAAGATTTTGTGGGGGAGACAGGTTTGGACAGGCTTCTCAGATCCTCCACGGAGCCCATCCACCCCCACCCCCACCTGGGGTTCACCCTCAGAAGCTCCCCCACCAGGGCCCAGCCACATGGTCAGGAGTCCACGTGGGGTCACAAGCAGCATCCACCCAGCAGCATCCCTGACCAGCCAAGAGCTGCCGGCCGACCTGACCTCGGGTACCCACGTGGGGCCCAGGGGAGCTGCCCAGATGCCCCAAGTCACTGCGCTCTCAGTCAGCTGGTCACGGACAATGATGAACTCCCACAAGCCTGTCCCAGGGTGCTGTCCCTTGGTTGGCTGCCCACCCACCTGCAGAGAAGATGTGTGTAGCCACGGCCAGAAAGGCGTCAGTCACCACCGTCTCGGACTGCAGGGACAGGTTCAGCTGGCGCGCCACATGGCGGTAAACGCTGGGTCGGATGTGCTCCAGCTCGTCCCCTGTGTGGGCACAGGGGGTCACAGGGCCACGCCCACCTGACCCCTGGGGCTCCTGCTTCACCCAGCCCTGATCCTACAGAGCCTGACGCCCCTTCTGTTGACCCCTGCCTGACCTCACCTGCCCCCATCACAGCCCTGGACAGGGGCCAGAGAGGTGCCCCTAAGTTTGCCTCTGTGGGGACTGGTGAGTTGGTCCTGCACAAGCCCCACCCCCAGGGAGAGCCGGCTGGGCCGGTGCAGCGGGATCTTGTGAGCCCGGCGTGGGCTGAGGCTGCGTGGGGTGACTCACGGAGCACCCCCCCACCCCACCCCCGAGCTGCCCAGCGGCGCAGGCGTGGGGGCAGCAGAGCGAAGCCAGGGAGGCTGAGTCGATGCCCCAGGGCACCCTCCCCTGGCGGGTTCCAACCTGGGGGCCTCCAGGTGCCTGCAGAGAAGCAGCCACAGGCCCAGGCCACCCACGCATGCAGCAGGTTCCTGGCCTCACATGTCCCCCAACAGCAATGGGCATGCTGCCCACTGGACAGCCAATGATGAGGCCCCCGCCTCCCACAGGCCAGCTGCTCTGTGTCTGATTAATTAAAATGGGAGCCAGGAGGGCCGAGGAGAAGGGCTGCTTTGGAAATTTCCCTGACTGGCCCTGAGGGCCCGTCCCCCGAGGCTGGCCACTGGGGTCACAAACTATGTCTCGCTGTTTCTCCCTGTGTCCTTGGCCCAGGCACTCAGGGACTGGAGGGCAGCAGACCCCTGAACTAGAATTCCTGATGTCCCAGTTGCCCCCCCCCCCAGAACCCCTTGGCCGTCTGGATGGGGGGGCTGAGCCCAGACCCTGGGAATAGGAGATGGGCGTAGGGACAAAGGCTGAAGGCCCTGCCTTGCTTCCGCTTCCCCTCATTCCAGGGCCCCTGGGCTCAAGAAGCAGGCAGGGGGTGGGGGTGGGGGTGGGCTCAGCAGGGCCTTGCTATCCCCACAGCCTGCCGACAGCTGACCCAGGTCATCCTGACAATTCCCTTGTGCACCCTACCTCCCACCCCTAGCTGACCCCCGGACCCTGCAGGTGCTCTCCACCCCCTCCCTCCAGCCCTTCCTGGAAGACCCCCAGCACTGGCCCCCACGGGCTCATGGGGGTAAGGTCTCACGGGGCCAGCACTGGGCCCAGAACCTGGAGTCCCTCTCTAGGTGCACCCTCTGCACGCCTGTCCGGCACAGCCCTGCCCAGCTCGGGTTCCGCCTGCTCTTTGAACCATAAAGTCCCGGGTGGACGCCCCAGGCCTGCTGCAGTCTGAGGACACGGGACACTTACAGAGCTGGGAGTTACCCCGAAATAAGCATACACTGGCGTCCACCTCACTCCAGAGGTCCCCGAGGGTCTTGTCCACTTTGCATCCCACAAGAAAGTGTGGCCCAGGCGGGACGCTGGCGCCAGAAGCTTAGGGCCGAGTTCCCTGAGCTAACTGGACACGAGGTCTCACAAAGGACTTCAGTGCCCCTCTGAGGTCACGCCAGCAGCTCGGCCACCGCCGCCGCCTCATTCTTTCCAGAGCGCTCCATTGTTTGTGGCCAGAAGGCCTGAAAACCGGAGGCCAGGGGATGGGCCTCCGCCGCGCGCTCTCAGAGACCCGGGCCCGGCGCGGTGGCCAGGGGCCGGCACTCACCCAGGCGCAGCAGCACGGCGCACACCTCCGCCAGGCGGCCGCCCGGGGGCGCGGCGCGTTCAGGCGCGCTCCAGGCCAGACCGGCGCGCAGGAGCCGCGCGTGCACGAACTCGCGGCCGAGCGCCTTGGCCTGGGCCACCAGCTCCTTGTCGGTCGGCGAGCGGTCAAAGGCGTCCATGATCTCGGCGGCGAAGACGGAGGAGCGCCGCAGCACTTCCATGGCGGAGTCGCAGGCGGGGGGCGCCGCACCTGCGGGAAGGAGCGCTCAGCG